CACATTTTCAAGGTTACTATCATCAAATATCACAGCCATGTTACCACCAAATAGGACATAATAACCGTGTTCCATCATTTGACCAACACTTAACAGATTTTCATCTAAACCTGGAACTAGCAGCACTTCATTTATGTATCTTTTCCCTCTTCTAGTCTCAACTACAAGTGTTCCTTTTCATGTGGCTTGAACAAGATCACTAGTACCCATTTTTACTTTGCAGGTCACTGACTTGTCAAGATTTATCAATAAGGACTCTTGCGAAGTCATGTGATTACTGCACGCACTGTCCACAAACCACACAAACTCACTTGTTGTAATTGAACTTGCATGACAAGCATAGAACATGGTTGCTGTGACAGCATCTTCTTCCTTTGCACAGTTTGCAACTTGTTTACCATTGTCACAATCCTTAGTTAAGTGACCAAATCGATTACATCTTCCACACTTGGTTTTTCCTTTGTATTTGCACACACCAAAATGGTATTTTTCACAGACTTGACATAGTGGTTTCACATTTCCTTGACTGCCACTGGTTTGTTTGTTGTGTGCAACAAACCTGTTGTTCCAGCCACCACCACTGCCATTGTTCCAGCTGCTATTCTGACCCCAGTTCTTTCCCTTTTTATACTGACCAAACTTTGGATTTGATTTATACTGGGACCCTTTAAAGTTTCCAGTGCCATTTCCATTTCCTCTAACTTTAAGGCTACTGAAAGCCCTCTCAGTACCTGTGTATTTGTCTCTTTCATCATGTAGATCTTCCCTCTTATCATAAACTTTCACAGAGGCTAGGACTTCTTCAATCCTAATAGTATCTAGATCTCTGGTTTCTTCAATAATCGACACTATGGACTTGTACCTTCTACTTAGACTCATTAACAACTTTTGAACAATCTTTTTTTCTGTCACATCTTCACCTAGAGATTTCAAGTTGTTTACTATCTCAAAAAACTGAGCCAAGTAATCAGCCAGAGATTCAGCATCATTCATTCTCAAATATTCAAAATCAGCTCTAATGGCTTGTAATTTCACAGCTCTTACCTTTTTATCTCCTCTGAATTCTCTCCTCAGAATTTCCCAGGCACCCTTTGCCGTCTTCTCATTTCGGATTCTGGGAAAAAGTTCATCAGTGATGGCTCCTTGAATGAGACTCAGAGCCTTGGCATTCTTGATCTTCACCTCCTTTGACACAACTGGTCCTTCAACTGGAAGTTGCTCAGTCTCGCTTTCTCCATCTTCCTCAGAGACATCCTCTGCAGGGGCTTGTTGTTCAGCAAGACCAGCTTCAACCACATCCCATAGATCATAGGCTATGAGAATGGTTTCCATTTTAATGGCCCAAAAATCGTAGTTTGACCCATTAAATTGTGGTGTTCGTAAATCACCACCGGAGGAGCTTGATCCGGCCATCTTCTCAGGTAGCACAGCACAAATGGTTATAAAGGTACCACCTTTAACCCTTTCTGGATTTGTATCTTCACAGAATCACGTCCCTTCTTCGAAAATCAGACCTAGAGCTCTGATACCATGTTTGAAATGGTACCAGGCATCCTGATAGATTTAATGATCTTAATAAAGATTGAAACTTTTACAGATTGTTTCAATGAATCTGTAAATATTGAGGGAGAGTGAAAGAGAGGAAGAGTCTGTATATTTTCTTATCAAATAAAAATGAAATTACAAAGGCTATATGCATCTCAACTTGGTCAACAAACAAAACCTACATTTTAGGGACCTAGTACTCTTCTCCGGCCACTAAGGGCTTTGGAGGATATCATCCATCCATCTGGACGGGGATGAGAATGCATAGTACAACTCAATAAAACAAAAATACCAGCTGTGAACTTTCTAACAATGGTAAATGAGACTAGCCGTTGTGATTCAAACTCAACGGCTCCTTTCTAAAATTGGAAATTTGTTCATCCCTTGGTTCCCAGCTTCCTCTCGATTTGAACTGCAGGATTAACATCTGCAGATTGGAATTAATGCTAGTAGGCAGCTTAATTCTCAACAAAAACTTCCTCTTAAACAACGGGCATAATGTTGGCTATCAAATAGGTTCTTTTGTTTACAAGATTTTGAGAGAGATGGGATTTCGGGATGAAAATCTTAAGACCTATAACTCTGCAGAAGAGTTGAACCAGCTTTTTCGCAATGGTAGCAGAAAAAATGGTATTTCTGCAGCTTTCGATGAACAACCCTACATGAAAGTTTTTCTTGCAACATACTGCTCAAAATATATTTCAATGGACCCAACATTTAAAGCCAATGGTTTTGCCTTTGTAAGTTAACCTGCTTATCAATAGATTTTGTCTCTATGATGGTCTCCCATATATATACATATATATATATATATATTCAAACATTTTTTTCCTTTGATTTTGTAATTTTCAGGTGTTCCCAAAAGGTTCGCCTCTTGGTCGTGATGTTTCGAGGGCAATCTTAAATGTCACCGAGGGAGACCAGATGAAAGCGATTGAGAGCCAGTGGTTCAAGAAACAAGCTGTGCAGACCCCAACAGTCTGATATCTTCCAATAGTCTCAGCCTTGAAAGCTTTTGAGGCCTCTTTCTCATTTCTGTCGGTGTTTCAATAGTGGCTCTGCTCATATTTGCTGCCATGTTTTTGTCTGGAGAACTCGAGGATATCTCGATGCAACTAAACCAGCTTGGTCCAGAAGCCTCATTGTGGAGTAGAATTCGAGTCATATTAGGAAAATACGACGAATGGGACTCTAAGTCGTTTACTTTTCGTAATAATGGACTGGAACGTCCAGTAATCAATCATGCATGATCCTGTGATTCAACCAGCGATTTGAAGATTCGGATCCTAGGTATTAATTTTGTATCAATGTCAACTTGATCTAATCAAATTTAAATTATGATGTGCTCCAAGGCTATGTTTGGATCACTACTTATGGGATCGCTAATCGTTTAAAGTTGATGAGCTCATCGGTCAAAATTTCTATGCAAGGTGTATTAGGTGTACAAATTTATGTTCCTAAGAAAAACAGAGATATGCAAGTGGTTGATTGCTCTGATATTTAGGGTCTTCCTCTTCAATTCGTTGCGTTCCGAGTCACTTGGAGTAATTTAGAGTAGAAATATCGCTTGTATTGGAAAAGAAAATAAGACATCGTGCTTATTGCAATATTGGCATCAAATCGGGTTTTAAGCCAAGTTTTTAATAACGGATAGAACATCTTACCTTGTATATTTCTTTCTCGCTTGCATAATCATGTCAACTCCATGTTTATGAAAAAATAAAAATCCTAGCCCCAACAGCCCCATCTAAGAACCGCCGCCACCATCAGCCACCAGGCATGAGGGGTTAGGCTGCCCAAATATCTTAGACGTGAACTTTATGAATCAAAGCTAATTGTGTAGCTCCAAAAAGGAGGAAGAGCCTTCAGGTATAGAATTGGATGATTCGTACGTAATAACATAGCGATTTACCAGCGACGCTTCAAGTTGATCTATATATCAAATACATGTTGAGCACATCACTATTTCAACAATTTCAACATATTTAGTTATGAATTGATGTCATTGGCAGCCTTGATCTCCTACCCAACAATTTCTCGGACACTAGGTTTTGCCTTGAGCTACAATATATCTTCTGGAATCTCATTTTAGATGAAGTCATCATTTCTTACTATATTTCTGAATGCTTGACCTAGTCATATCTACATAAACAACTTTAGGAAAATTATTCACTTCATTCCCACATAGCGGTGGATTTTTTTGCCAAATTTCCATGACAACCGAATAGTCAACCATAACATACCGACTTTGTGCCAATCAGTAATGGTACAGTATTGGTAATAAATACTATTACCACGGTATTACCGTACCGTACCAAAAATATAATTATATAATTGAAAGAATCAATTTCAAGGAGTTGACATTTAATAGACCTTACAACATAATTGATGGAAACAACCTCCACATGAAAGCGAACAGTGTTGCGAGCATGCCATATAGAATAAAAACCAACTCCAATCATACCCCACCAAAGCAATTGCACTTGGGTACCAAAACCTTGTTGTAAAGGATAATGGAAAAAGCTAAAAATATCTTGAAATAAATATTGAACTCTGAATAATTCCAAAACAGAAGACCAAATTTTACGTGCAAAAGAGCACTCAAAGAAAATATGTGAAGCAGTTTCCATACCTTCACAACAAAGAGAGCACATAGATGCTATAGAAAATATGTGCAAGTTTTTTTTTTTATTTTTTTATTTTAGTACAAACAATATTCTACAATAATCTACACTAAGGGGAGCAAGAGAAAGGTTTGAAACCGGAACGCAATGGTTTGACAAGGAAGACCCAAACCACCAAGGTTGTCCACCACTTGAATAGTTAATTATCCAAAACCCTCAATTTAATTGACATAAACTTTTTGTAAACCTGGAATATATCTTGTACTATTGTAAAAATAAAAAAATAAAAAAAAAATTGTATAATTATTCGTTGAATTATGATAGCATCAGATGTGCACGCATTCATAATTAATTTACATAATTTAGTGCTTATGTTGTTAGTTATGTGGAATGTTTAATTTGTTGTTATGTTTTACTTACTCTTTTTTTGGGTGATGGCTTTGGCGCCTTGGAGTTGGGATCTCTTCCCTTTTTATGGTTCTTGTAAGACTCCTCTCGCTTGTTACTAGAAAATATTATTTTGCCGACAAATTCTTAGCCGACGAAGTAAAATTTTATCGGCACAAGAGTCATCTACCGACTAAAATTCTAATTTATCGGCTAAATATTCAAGCCAAAACCAATTTATAGCATTAATTTTAACCGAGAAAATTCAAATGTTAACCGACAATCATTTTGTCGGCATAAATACAATGTCCTGACGAGTTTAATTTTGACGGGTAAACTGCCCCCTTCCCTGCTATCTTAGAATACTACACGACGATTTCGGGGCGACAAAAAATATTTCCTCAGCTGAGGAAATAACTATTAACCAAAAATAAGGCGCGGAATAAAAGCGCGGTTTCAAAACAGTAGCGCGGAGTAAGAAAAAAAGAAAAAAAGAAAAAAATTAAGCGCTTTAGTCAAACACGAAGCTGTTATTTCTCTCCGTCCCACTCCCTCTCCCTCGCCCTCTCCCTCGCCCTCGTCGCTGCAAATACACAGACCGACCGACTGCCTCCTTCGGCTGGAGATCGAAACTGCCGTCAAATTCAAAGCCCTCAAAAAGGTTTTCTTTTTTTTTTTTTTTTTTTTCTTTTTCTTCTTTCCCTTCTAATTGTCATCTTCAATTTAAGTTCTGATGCATAAACCCATCAATTGTCTCTGTAATTCTCTTAGGGTTGTCAAAATTGAAATGGAATTTGTGGGCTTGAATTTGTATTAGGTTGCGAGCATATCGTGTGTTATGTTTATTAGGTTGGATAAAAAAAACCATCAAAGCTGCCAAGAACTCGAAGGTCAGTGATCTCTTTAAGTGATTATCTTCCTTCTCCTCTCTAATTCTATGTCTTCCAGTTCAATTTGTAGGATTTAATTTACGGTTTTAAGTTGGAAATTTTAATTTAACATTTTAAGTTGCAAGGCTTGGTGTAGACGACAATTTGGGTTGTTAATTTTGATTGTTGATCCACTTCCTAATCCCCCCGCATGTTATTTGGGACTCGACCGAACACAGAGGGGCAAATGTTTTGTGGAAGGGACTGAGGAACAGGGCAAAGGTTTTGGAATCTGCACTAGATGATGCTAATAGTAGAGGTTCGTGTAATGCCACATCTTAATTTTTTTTGTTCCAAGTAATGTTGTAATATATTACTTTTTCAATTGTGGTTTCCTGTTATCTATGATTGGTTGTGATGTTAATGTTAAATTACATTCCTTTTGGTGTTCTAGCTATGTTGATCGCGGTTTCTGGTTTTGATTGTGACCAAATTGTTGTTGTGGTTGAGTCTTAGTTTACTATGTAACACGCAGGATCCGACATTGAAGAATCGTGCAAGGCAAGTGATGTAGAGAAGATGAGAGCTGCAACTGCGATTAATAAAATCTTGTCCAGAGTTAATGGCCATCCTAGCTAGTTTGTGGGAAGAGATCCAGCTTATCAGGGGTAGGCCTTCTCAGTTCAGCCTTAATTTTATCTCTTACAGTCGTACTGATGATTTTACATTTTATTTTCTTTGATATGATTGTGTTGCCTTGCAGAACTGATCTGCACTTGCCAGACATGAGCAAGGAGTTTATGCAAGTGATGCCTTCTTCAAATTGACAGGTAACATGTACAATGTTAGCTACTTGCCAGGATTTCTCTAAACCCTTCTAAACTCCTTGTTGTTTGCAAATCTTTTGAATAATCCAACATATGTAGTTGTTACACAACTCATATGTAGATGTGTACAATCTTGGCAGAGCTGTAACCATGCGTTTTGTGTTGCACAAGTAATCCTGTTCTCAAGAGTGGTTCAGTTTACTGCTGCAAACTTTCATCGTGTATTGTTGACAAATTGGTTAGGCTTTCATGGTTTATCGTAACACTATGGTGTTATTGCAGCCCTTCCGCATTTTCTAATTTTTAACAGCTTGTTGTATCAAAGTGTCTTCTATTGAATGTGTTTTCTTCATGCCAAGGATGCTTTTTTGCTATCGGTTCTTTATACGATTCTCTCTCCTCTCAGAAACCCGGACCCAAACCCAGTTGCCGATACCCAGATCATTGTAGGTCTATAACCTTTCTCTTATTTGAAATTTCAATTTCCAAGGTTCGATCCATCTATATTCGCTTAATCTGTAATTTGGAGTTTATTTCTTCTTTTTTGATTTTCTGGTCAATAGATGTTTTCAGGTCCAGTGTTCTTCTTTCGAAAGATTTCTAATAGCTTGGTTTGACAAGTGCAAGTCCATATTAACTTAGTCTTCTCTTCATCAAAATTATAATAATAATACTATTAAATTAGTCTTGTTATTTTTATTCCAGGTGCGTGTGCTTGAAATTAATGTAGTTGCACTTGCTTATGAGGCTGGTGATGGTGAATTTTATCTCAAGTATATCGTATGAATTATCCCTCTGTTATGTTTTCTCATGGATTCCTAACTTGTGTTACTCTACCATTCAGCTAATGACAAGAATATATTGTATATTTTGTCCCTCCATTGTGCACAACACTCTGAGCAAGGAGCTTTGTACTGGTAAGTTTGATTGTGCTAGGAATATATTGTACCGTTTGCTTGCTCTGCCTTGTGTTTATTTCAAGTACATAGACGAATAGTTTGATTATGTCTATGCTAGACATGAGCAAGGAGCATTGTGTAAGCAATTTTGATTCCCCAATAAGTTACAACTGTCGTCATTAATAAAATTTGATCAAGTTGTGAGAAATTTTTTATGTTTGAGGATTTTCTTTGTATTCTTGAGGGCAACTAATTAATCCCAGAGTTGAATATCTTTTAATTATTATTGCGTAACTTATTGTACCTTCTTTCATTCATTTTGAATTGCATCTTATTAAGGGATTAAAGAGTAGCTCTCTAATGGTAGGTGGTCTGAGATGTTGATTGCAAGGTTTGGAATATCTTTTACTATATGCTTGATTACATGAGTACATGCTTTATCATCCAAGATGCAAGTGAAATTCAATTCTTGATTCAAGTCTGACTATATGCTTTACATGAGTACATGCTTTATCAGAAGTGACATATATATCGGCTGAATACTCACGCTAGAACCAATTTACATTGTCAATCTTTCCCAAGGCAATCCAAACCTATTTGGTCGGTTCACATCCCCCAATTGCATGATCTCTTTCCCATATTCTTCCTAATCCTATTTTGCCGCCTCATGATCTCCGTCCCATAATATTTTAATTATTCCAATTGTCGGTTCACATCCCCCAATTGCATGATCTCCCTCCCAATTGCATGCTAATCCAAATTGCTCATGACTTCCCTCCCATATTCTCGCCGTTCGATTTTAGTTTCATAATAATTCTTATTTATCTTGTAACAACTTGGCAGGGTCTTTCCCGCTATGAAACAATTTTGACGATTCTATCCCTAGGTTTATATATTAGGGTTCTTGCACTCTTAGCTGATTTTATCATCTCTCGCTTCTCTCGCTCTCACGATTGTCTCCATAATTTTGCAGAAGATGCACCACAAGCAACCAGATTTATTCTTACCGATGAATTCTAATGCACTCGATATATGTATTTACATTTAACTTAAACTTGTTCTTTTTTTTTTTTTTGTAGATGCCAATGATTAGCCAAAAAAGGAAACGACCTCTTATGTCAACAAGACTCCTGCCTCTGCCATCCCAGTTACGATCTACATTTGCTATTAGAGTTGCTCCTCCTACTTTTTGTCAAGAGATTAAATAAATTATAGGCTAAAGAATGAATTTTTGGTTAATATTTCGGCGAAAGATATAAACATACCTTGTTACACTTTAATAAAAAAGGAAAACTAAAGAAAAATCCTTAAAAATATCCTGTTATATTATGGCTGGGATCTTCCCGCTCATATATAATGTATATGAATCAAATAAATGAACGGTTTATCATGAATCTGTTACTTGGTACCAACACCGTCCCTTTGTTTCATATTGTTGCTCATTTTTTGTTTTATTGCATTCTCATTTGCCAAAGATTGGGCATATCATTTTGTCAAGATATTATCTTTTATTTCATTTGTCAGTACGACAATCACTATTATAGTGTTATGCAGTATTACTAATTCATGTCATCAATTTTAAGTCACTGCACCGAATTCGAAAGTGACCATTCCACCACACACTAGGTGAGCAAATCTCTCTACTAATTTTTTTTTTCCACATGCAAATATAAACGCGTCTTTCATTTGTCAAAGCTAGACTTGGACAATGTAATGAGACAAATAATACCTTTGAATTTTCAACTTTTAGAGACATCCACCACTATTGACAATCTGACATTGACTCACTGAATGAGGACAGCAAACTTAAATGCATTTTTTTGGAGATGCTCATAGCATGAAATTACATGCTATCACAGCCAACGGATTATGGAGTGTTGGATGCTCCTTGTACTTGTATTAATTTATGTAATCAACAATTAATTAACCCAGTTTAGAGCTTCAAATCTACAGTTTCTAAGTCTATATAAATGTAGACTCCATTTTCTTGAAGTCATGAATTGCAAAGCTTGAAAAGTTTCCCAAAAAAATTTGCAACATGGCCAAGAAAGCTAGCTGCAGAAGCTACCTTTTTGCTCCGTTCTTCTTGTTCTTATTTTCTAAGACTACTTTCCTGGCCATGTCACAAAACAATAAGACTACCCCATTTCATGTGGGTCTGGTTCTTGACTTTGATGCCTGGTATGGGAAGATGCAGCTGAGCTGCATCGAAATCGCCCTATCCGATTTCTATGCCTCTAACTCTAACTACAAAACCAGGCTTGTTCTGCACAAAAGGAACTCCCCTTTAGATGTTGTTGTCACAGCTTCTGCAGGTAATTCTATCTCTTTTATCTGTGTTCATGTTTTGTTCTTGCTCCTTCCAATTAATCCCCCTCTGTTGAGAGCCTTTCATAATAGTTTTAAATGATTTTGGTGCTTATCTAGTTTATTGTTCATTGATTTTGATTTAGACACTCACATTCTAGCATTAACCCATTTATGTACTCAATTAGTTTTGAAAGTATAAATCTCATGTCAGGGGAATAATAGCCTTGCATAATAGTTTAAGAAATCTTGGGCATCTCATGTTCATTGTCAATGAGTTTTGAGTTGGACGGTCACATTCTAACAAGTACCCGTGAAGTTTTGAATACTCAATCGGAGCGTGAATCCCATGTCGGGGAGATTGATTTAACATTTTCTTGTTTGAATGAACAGCTCTAGACCTGATAAAGAATGTTCAAGTGCAAGCAATCATAGGGCCTGCATCATCAATGCAGGCCAACTTCCTAATCAACCTTGGACAGAAAGCCCAAGTCCCCATAATCTCTTACTCAGCAACAAGCCCATCTCTCACTTCAATCAGAAGTACATATTTCATAAGAGCCGCACAAAATGATTCATCCCAAGTGAAAGCCATTAGTGCTATCATCCAAGCATTTGGCTGGAGAGAAGTTGTGCCTATCTACGTCCAAAACGAGTATGGGGAAGGAGTCATACCTTACCTCTCTGATGCCTTGCAAGAAGTTGATGCTCGAATCCCCTACCGGACTGTCATTTCTCCAACTGCTACTGATGACCAAATTGCTACTGAGCTTTACAAGTTAAAGGGAATGCAAACTCAGGTCTTCATTGTGCACATGTTACCATCTCTCGGTTTGCGAATTTTCAACAAGGCAAAAGAGATCGGCATGATGAAGGCAGGGTATGCTTGGATAATGACTGATGGGATGACCAACAGGTTTAGTTCCATAAATTCCTCTGGCGTAGAAAATATGCAAGGGGTTTTGGGTATAAAAACTTATTACCCGAATTCAAAAGGGCTTGAGAGTTTTCGAGTTAGATGGAAGGGGAAATTTCAACAAGACAATCCAACTGTCCAGGATGTTAAACTGGATGTGTTCGGATTGTGGGCGTATGATGCTGCTTGGGCACTGGCCATGGCTGCTGAGAAAGTTGGGGCTAAAAACTTCAGCTTCGGAAAGAAGAATACTTCTGGAAACTCTAGTAATACTGATCTAGAAAGATTTGGGGTCTCACAAAATGGTCCTCAGCTTGTCAAAGAACTATCAGGTACAAATTTTAAAGGCCTTTCAGGAGATTTCAATCTTTTCAATGGCCAATTACAATCATCAACTTTTGAGATCGTTAATGTGATTGGAAGTGGGGAAAAACCGATTGGATTTTGGACACCCCGAGATGGTCTTCAAAGAAACTTAAATTTGAAAAAAACAAGCAAATATTCTACTTCCAATGCAAGTCTTGGATCTATTATATGGCCTGGAGACACCACATCTGCTCCAAAGGGTTGGCAGATTCCTACACCTGACACTAAGCTGCGAATTCTAGTCCCGGTCAAGCAAGGGTTTTCGGAATTTGTAAATGTCACACATGATCCTAGAACCAACACAACCACGGTCAATGGTGGATATTGCATAAGCATCTTCGAATCTGTAATAAAATTGCTACCCTACGCTGTTCCTTATGAGCTTATTCCCTATGCAAGGCCTAATGGTTCGGCTGCTGGCAATTACAATGACTTGGTCAATGAAGTGTATCTCAAGGTAAGAGTCTTTTCTTCCTAATCTAACAAACTTATCTGATTTCGTAACTGAAATGGTAACATTTTTTCTTGATAGAACTATGACGCGGCAGTGGGGGATATCACCATTAGAGCAAACAGATCCTTATATGTAGACTTCACGTTGCCGTACACAGAATCTGGTGTGTCCATGATTGTGCCTATCAAAGACAACAAAAACAAGAATGCTTGGGTGTTCTTGAAGCCCTTGACATGGAACCTTTGGGTAACGAGCGGTTGTTTTTTCATATTCATTGGTTTCGTTGTTTGGGTTCTTGAACATCGGATCAACGAAGACTTTCGGGGGCCTCCACATCACCAAATCGGTACAGGTTTTTGGTTCTCGTTCTCAACCATGGTTTTCACACACAGTAAGTTCGCTCGTCTTAATTTACTCTCCATAGAAACTAAGCAAATTTAATGCTTTCCATTGTAAGGTATCCCTCAAACTTATAACATCCATGACTCATAGTTCTCCATTTCTTTGTCTTTTGAAATTTTCGTTACAGGGGAGCGAGTAGTGAGCAACTTGGCTCGATTCGTGGTGATAATCTGGTGCTTTGTGGTCCTCGTCCTGACCCAAAGTTACACTGCAAGTTTGACATCTCTGTTAACAGTTCAACAGGTCCAACCAACTGTTACTGATGTTAACTTGCTCCTCAAGAATAGGGACTCTGTTGCCTACATATCAGGTTCTTTCGTTCTTGGGATTCTGAAACAACTAGGCTTTCCAGATGACAGACTTGTGACCTATGATACCCCTGAAGAGTTGCATAAGCTTTTTCAAAACGGGAGTAATAAACATGGCATCTCGGCAGCTTTCGACGAGACACCCTATATGAAACTATTTCTTGCAAAGTATTGCTCAAAATACACCTTGGTTGAGCCGACATTTAAAGCTGATGGTTTTGCCTTTGTAAGTTCACCTGCTTTCGCTCCTTTGTCTCTATCATGTTCAAATGTCTGTTTTCTCATGTCATGTGGGATATTTTGTGTCCTTTCAATTGAGAGTGTGAGTTTCGAGTCGGAGGATTAAAGCGTTGCATAAGTTTAATTATCCTTGGCTTATACTTAACTCCTCGAGAAGAATTACTATAAATATTTTCCTAATACCGTCTTTTGACACTTTCACTTTGTGACTTGTGTAGGTCTTCCCGAATGGTTCGCCTCTTGCTCGTGACGTTTCGAGGGCAATCCTAAACGTGACCGAGGGATACAAAATGAAAGAGATTGAGAAGATGTTGTTCAACAATCAGTCAAGTTGTGCAGACCCTAACAGCGTTGTCTCTCCCAACAGTCTCAGCATCGAGAGCTTTTGGGGCCTCTTTCTCATAGCCGGTGTTGCTTCAACATTAGCTCTGCTCATATTTGCTGCCATGTTCTTGTACGAACACAAGGGCATCTTCTCGCAACTCGATCCAGAAGCCTCATTGTGGAGAAAATTTTGTGTCATGCTAAGAATTTACGACAAAAAGAACTTAAATTCGTTTACTTTTAAGAAGGGTGAACTGAAAGGTAACACCATCTTCCCGCCAAGTCCATCTGTCTACTCAAACGACACTGAATCGCGCAATGTTTTCGAGGAACAGATAGGAACACCGTCTACTGAGCATGGTGGTTTCAGTCACAGTGATTGTTCGCCAACTGGAAGAGAGATGGAATCAGCCATTGAAATTACTGAGAGGCCAAGACCTTACGAGATTGCCTGATAGGATTTTTACCATTTGTAAAAGTATGAATAAAAATATTTTAAAATACTTGCAAGACAATAAAGTAGTTGTAATAAAAATGCTTATGCAAGGTTGTTAATTTCCACGAAGATTATTTAAAATAATTTATATTAAAATCAAATCTTAATTAATTATTTAAAACAAAGTTTTAGAAAAAAAATTGATTTTGGAATTTAAAATAATAAAAACGAATATGAATAAAAATAATTAAATAAATCAGCAAAAGGAAAACAATTTTCAAAAATCAAGTTGTAAAAGCATATGGTTTACCGTCATCTTAACAATCCTACGTAATTCTCTCAATTACTTATGGCTTATACATGCATATTTTGAAGGTTAAGTTTTCCTAAAGTATGCTCTACTTGGACCCCAAGCTAACTTATACATGCATATTTTGAAGGTTAGGTTTTCCTAAAGTATGCTCTACTCAAGTCAAATCTAAACATATAAGACTCATTAATTTTTCTGAAAACCCCTTGAAAAATCATGCAACCCATAAGACGTGATATTCATCCTAAGTAAAACTACAATTATTAACCACAAGAAGCTTTCGTCAATTTCAAGGACAATCCTCTGACCAAAATTGCATCAAAATACTTTTCTAAATATCATAATGGTGATCAAGCATCAAGACAATTAGATAATTTCAACACGGTGATTAATAATTCAAAACCTACTTGCATAATATCACAAATAAATTGAAAAGAAACTACATATTCTTGATAAGACTCATGGCCTCATCCTAGCAAAAGAGATTAGTCACACACAATCATAAAGAAAAATACTATTAAGAACATGGATAGAAAACACCTTGTAAATAAACTTAAATCGTCAAAAGCTCTCTAAGCCGAATTCTCCAAAGTAGTGTGTGGAGAACACTAATGGCTAATAGGTCTTATTTATGCTACTACAAAATAAAATCCTTCCTATAAAATGTGTTCTTAAAACTAGGAAACATAAAAAATTAAGAGAAACTAGGAAACATAATCCTAATCAATAATGGGAAATCTACCCAGCCACGTTTCTGGGTCTTTAGGGCTCCAAATCAAATCCAAAACTACTTGAATTAAAGCTTAGAACATCCTCTCCAAGTTCCAACATGAACCTAATAGCAAAAGACACCATCTTGGATGCCAACAAGCCAAAAACGTCACTTTGATAGCTTCGTATGTTGGTCCTTTATTTCATCACCATAAATTAACTGCTTAGTAGAAAAATATGAAACTTTGACACGAACAAGTTGAAAGACTCGTGAACATCTTCCAATTGGAATCACTCTAAAATTATCCGTTTGATTATTTTTAGCTCAAGAAGGAGCCGCGTGTCTACGTTAAGAATATAAATCAAAGTATTAAAATTCAAGCAAAATCACCAATAAATTATAAATAAGAAAAAAATAAAATATATAGTATAATATTGACTCATCATTGCCCAAGAAAGCAATTGATACAGTTTCATAGTTTCACATAGTCATGTACTCATTGTAGATGTAGCACCTATAATTATACTTAACCTTATATGGGTACAAAATATTGTAAACTGGGTTAGAAATAAAATGATAATACATAACACGTGAACACCACGGATTTTACAGAAAGCAAAAGCTAATTATTCTCTCTAATAATTACATAACTTTGTTACAACTTTAGTGTACCTCTCGAACGCCAAGAACCTAATTATGCAGAGGTGCATATAAACCGCCCTTATATGGCTTCTTAGAAAAAATAAATGAACGAATTAGCATATAGGTGAAGGAAGCCACCACAGCCTAAGAGAAACCAACTAATAATCTCTAATGCACCTTTCAGCCCATGAAATCCTTGTGAAGATCCCTCTTTCACATTCATCACATCATACTATGGATACCTTAGGTCATCTCCAACCGAAGGGTTCAGAGGGCCAAAAGGCTGAAAATAGCCCTAAAACCGTCTCCAACCGAGGGCTATGCCAAAGTGCTCATGGACCCCATTGGACAAAAAAGGGCCAAAGGGCCAACCGGGTGGCCCAAATGAGATAGCCAACTGGCCTCGGGCCAGGCTAACGTCAACTAACCGTTATTTTTTAATTTTTTTTTGGGCCAAAAATTTAAAAAGAAAATTTAATTAAGGCCCAAAAAGGTGATTGGTAAGCATGTTTGATTGCTCAAACCTCTCCCACAGCCGATGTGGGACAAAAATAATGGGTGTCACACATGCAAGTTTTTGCTTGCTCAATTCTCTCCCGACGTGGGACAAATATAATGGGTGCCCCAAATATAAGCTTCCTATTAGAAATGATAAATGTGCATTTATACATGGTAAACGTGTATTTAATTTAAGTTGTTGTAGTTTTTAAATTTAAATAATATGTTTGGCCCTTTGGTCCTCGGTTGGAGATGTTTTGTTTGTGACATGGCTAAAACGAGCCCTATGGTCCTTTGGCCCTCAGTTGGAGATAGTAAGAAATATGGTTCTGCACTGTTTATTAAAATATTAATTTCTTGGAGGGCCAGAGAGCTAAAACGAACCATCTGGCCAGCCTTTGGTTGGGGATGGCCTTAAAGTTTGGAAAGCCGGATCAAAGTCCTCAACCCCATGAACAATCAGTCTTCCGTCGTTGTAGACATCCCACTCAGTGACTTTGACTTGGTTAAGAGAAGTGTATCCGTCAATGCCGGCGGGCAGGGAAGTAACAACGAGAGGATGACAGGGCCCTTCGACGACTACAAGTGAGAGCTGGGGTTGACCCTGATGGCGTCGGTGGCTGCCCCTTTTTTTGGGTATTTACATTTTAGAGTTAAGTGGCATGCACATGTCGGAAAGAAATAGAGGATACACGAAAGAGACATCGATTTGGGGACATTCGTGGCTCTGTTGATCTATTGGATAATTGAACCATCTCCACCATATCCGAATTCTCTGTCACAAACAAACAACGAAATTGTGAGCCAGCGTTCCATACAAAGCTAAACTAAATGTTATTCACGCTCCCAATTTGTCACTCGTGTGTAAAAAAGAAAATATAAATTGAAGTGCCGGATGGCAAATTTGGAGTGTGATTATCAGCTCTCGTCAAGGGGGAATTTCATAAAAGAACAAAGTGCGCATAGTGATCTTGGAAAGTGAAGTACTCATTGTTATGGGAATGATGAATCCGAAAAAAAGGTTCCACAACAGGTAGAAGGCCGAGGAAACTATAGCTGAAATGCTGGTGTTGGGCGTAATGGCCATGATCATCATGCCATATAAGGTGTAATAAAAGAAGGTCTACATGAAGAACAGATACCAAAAGAACTTGCTGAATGTCCGTTCAAATCCAATCATGGCGTAAACTATAACCGCATAGATGATAATTTAGATCACAGTGTATGGGAGCTCAATGACAACCTGCATTAACACAATGAAATTTGGTGAAAAATCAGTAAGAACTTTATCTGCAAGGTCTCAAACAGTCAAATTTACTCCCATATCTCATTAGAACATTTTATGTTAAATATTCAAATCCCAATCCGGGTTTTTTTTGGATCAAACATCCTCAACATTTTCAATCCACATATCCAAATAGAACCTGAAATCAAGTTAGTGGACAGAGTTAGTACATTGCAAGGACTAACGATCCAATTCGTGGTTAAACTAGAGAACGGGAGCAGCTATTATTCGTGTTCAGAGAAGAAAATGTAACTCAGGGTATAATTTAGAGACCATAGCTACAATTTAACCTAAATATATGATACTGAGATTTCACGAATGAATCCTGAAACTTTCGTAAAACACATCATACATGTCCAAAGCATATGGAAAAGCGGAGTGCATTCCAGCAGGCCGCTCTCTGTAAAAAACTTTCTCAATAGCCACAACTGGCTGAACTGATGCATCAAGTTCCACTTAGGGAACCTCAGAACACAGAACCCATTGCACTGAAAATTTCTTGTTGCTTTTTCCTGAATTAATTCCTGAAGTTTTAGCCAAAATCAAGGATCCGGCTGGAGATGAGGGGTCACAGTTTTACACATTCCGGTTCCATATTTTCCCATGAAGCTAGGTCAAACTATGTCACCATATGTTACATTATTTTTGACATTTACCTTATAGAGGCAAGACCCCGGAATAGTAAACCAATTTGTATAGCCATCGTAGTTGTGTTAAAAAGTCTCACTGCGCTGTATGGTAGGTTTCACCAGTAAAACAAATGCTGTTTCCATAGGCAAGTTATGCACAGGGTAAAGAAAGGCTGAGAGTACTGTGTAGGGAAGTGCAAGTCTCTTTCATTTGGTGGAGTACTTAGTTCCTTGATCAAAGCCTTGTTTTTACTAAACATTCAACCCATAATGTTAGTGGCTTAAACAGAATCTTAGTACTAATAAACATGGTTACTTTTTGTATTTTCCTTTCCAACTCAACCTAATAAAATATCGGAACTCCGAAGTGTAAGAGTTTAACAAAACTCTAGTTCATATCAAAGTCTTCAGAAGGAGATTCGCAGCAGCTAATTTGTTATTGACAATTGTCAAGTACATAAGGAAGTGAAACTGTGAATGCTCTTGCAGGAAAAAAATAATCATCCTAACTGATATATATATAAACTGACTACTCTGAGATTTGTTTCTATGGTGATATTGGATTGGATCACATAACCCTTAAATCTAATCAATTATCCAAACTAGGTGAATCGCGATAATTCTTATTTTTGTTTTCCTAGATATCGTACGCCTATGTATCTGAGTTCCTGTATATGTCAGCGAAATTAACTCCAAGAGCTGCTTCTTGTCCTGCAGAAGTAACCCCCAACATCCAAGTTGCAAGAGTTTTGGAAATTTCCTTGATGAAATATAACTCATTTATGTTAGCAGTTGAGCAGAATGTATTGCAGATAGTATAGAATTTCATGTACTTGTAACCCTATCTAACCTCAAAGTAGTTGATCTAGGGGGAACAATGGTGGCCTAGATCCAACATAAATTTCTCCGCCTCCTTGTTTCAAAAGAACAGCTGCAAGAATGTATTAGTTCTTGTAACATTAATTAGCATAGTCAAATTGTGTAACCTAAAGCATAAAAAAGGTAATGCCAACAGTGACGTGGTCTTTCAGAGCCCGGGGGTCTAAAAGCAGT